AACTATCATAATCGATCACAATAGTTTACAAATTAAATATTATGCGTGCAATATATTTGAGTTACTATAGTTTGTGAGTAGGTTTAAAGCAGAAATTCAAAGATGCTTTCTTATTTAGGTTATATATCTGTATTTCACTTTTACAGATTTAAGTACAAGTATCTAAGCCATTCTCACTAAAATCACGGATTATGAAGTTCAGTTTAATGTCAGTCAACAACGACGTAGAACTACTTACGTACGTACATCAGTTCGAGTTTCCATACCACTGAGATGCAATTGTTAATTCAAATCCCATAGTAGTAGAGGCAGTAGAAGTGTTAGCGGTAATGCAGAAAATTAAGGTTCGGAAACATTATTCAAGAGGTATCAGTGAAATAAAAGTAGTAACATAAAGGTGACAGGGAATTCAAATTAGAATTTGAGAGAAGACAAACAATGAATTTTCTGTCATGTCACACAAGGTCTCTAACTATCGGTTATTATTTTCTCGCGGACCCCTATCTGGTAGTCTACACCTACCAACATGACTCAGTCTACTTGTCAGTGATTTCATGGATTTCTGCCATGTTTTGGTCTGGCCTTCCCCTACACCACAAAACATAGCTCGTAGAGGCGGTCGGCGGTTGGGTATACGTAACACATATCCCGATCACCTCAACTGATGAAGTTTCAATACTTTGTCAACTGATCAGCCATCCTTACCTAGCACCCGTTTCCTAATAACAGCATTGCTTACTCGGCTGTCCCAGGATACACGAGCAATGCGTCGGAGACACCTGTGATAGAAAACAACCAACCTACGAATGTCCTCTACTCTCACCGGCCATATTTCGCACCCGTGTAGTAGGACGGAGCGAACTGCTGCACAATACACTCATCAATTGGTTAGCAAATGGATATCTCGTCTACGCCATAAGTGACGTAGGTTGGCAAAAGCCAATCGAGCCTTCTGTATCTGAGCTGAGATTTCGTCAGTCACCAGGCCATCAGCACTGATGCGACTTCCCAGATAAGTGAAGCGGTCGACACGCTCAACTACTTCACTCCCTATCACTAGTTCAGGTACTGATACAAGCCAATCTTAAAGCAGCATCTTGCATTTAGTGGGAGAACCGCATCCCGAACATGCTTGCATTGTTGCTCAGGGTAGTCAGAAGACTTAGCATTTTCTCAGCGTCTCCATCGAATAGAACTATGTCATCGGCATATTCTAGGTCAATAAGCCATCCTCCTGGTAGAATGTCCACTCCCGAAAATTCAGACGAAGATACTGTTATATCTAGGAGCATGTCTATGACAAAATTAAACAAGAATGAAGAAAGTGGACAGCCCTTACGGACACCACTTGCAGTAAAGAATTCCGATGACATTTCGCCATAAGCTCTAGCTCGGCCAGTCCTGTTCGACTACAGAGCCTGTATAAGGTTGGTGAACTTCTTTGGTACACCTTTTAATGACAGACAATACAACAAAACCTCACGATCAACATTTAAATGACCCCCTCTAGGTCAAACAATACAACTGTTGTCGTACGCCGTTGCGCGTCTGTATTCTAGGACCTGTCATAGTGTGAACATGTGATCTGTACAGCCGCATCCAGGTCTCCTCTTCACGAGCTCTAGTTAGACATTTAAGTATTATCGAGGCTAACAATTTAGACACCATATCAATTCAACTGATTCCTCTGTGATTTTCACAAGAGGACACTTGTTATTTTTTTATGGACTGGGACTGTCGGTGACTGAGACCAGTCAGATGGGATTACGTCCAGTTCCCAGAGGTCTACATAGGATCTCAGTCAATCGGCTTGAACTGGACCACCATCTTTAAAATTCCCAGGGGTTGGCCTATCATGGCCCGCTGCTTTCGCTCTCTTCAGATTTCTCATAACCCTTTCAGCTTCATTAAGAGTTGGAGGACTTACATCGCTTCCCACTAGTGTTTGCGATCATTTAAATGAATGACGTTTAGGTACAGACAATTAATAATGCATGCAGTTCATAAAATTAGATAATACTATTGTGAAGAATAGAAGATTCCTAAGAAGTGAATATGTCATTACATGCAGCCTAATGAAGGACAATCAATATAAATTTGATTCCGTTGCATTTTAGTGCACATTATGGATACAGCAGTATAACATTGAGTTATACGGCCTGTAGGACCCATTTCAAGAGAGAGATGATGTACCTTTAGACCTTAATTCGGTGGAGACATTATTTATTCCATCTCTGAGTAATCAACTAACCGTTTATTATTTGATTAGTTTTTGAAGTGGTATGTAGGCCGCATGCAAGTTACTGACGTCAGAGCTCCAAGATATACACCTGGCCTTTTATTATGGTTCGATACAAAAGTGAGGAATGCGATTCCCTAACAAGGAACTCACATTATTAACGAGACCCTTCACAATTCTGATAACATTTTTAACTGTTGTATGATCTAAATCACATGTCAAATGTTAAGGGAGATGATCTTAGACAACATGCATGATTTTAAAATAGCTGTGTCGCGTTTCAAATTTGGTAACAGTCTCTAGAAGGCAAAATAGGTGCTGATCCTTATACTATTCTAAAAGATACACTAGTCAGTCAGTCAGTCAGATGCAACGTGGAACTTTGTACATAAGTACATCAGTTCATGTTGCCATACCACATCAGCACAGAGATGTAATTGTCAATTCAAATCCAATAGTAGAAGAGGTAGTAAGGGAATTAGAAGTAATCAGAGAGGTTAGGATGAGAAGATATTATTCAAGAAGTATGATTCAGTGAGAAAAGTCTAGAGAGTCGAAACTAGAGGTGTTGAAGAACTCAGAAGATTAGGATTTGAGAGAACATAGAGAATAAATGCACCGGCGCCATTGCGAACGATTTTGAGCCATGTCATTCAAGGTCTCTAACCATCGATTATTATCATCTCGCGGACCCCAACCAGGTAGTCGACAGTTACCGACATGGCTCAGTCCACTAGTCAATGACTTCATGGATTTGTGCCATGTTTTGGTCTGCCTGCCCCTAACTTTCTTTCAACCTATTCCTACACTACAAAACATAGCTCGACGAGGCAGTCGGTGGTTAGGCATACGCAACGCATGTCCCAACCACCTCAACTGATGAAGTTTCATTACTTCATCTATTGATCTGCCATCCTTACCTAGTACTCGTTTCCTAACGACAGCATTGCTCACTCGGTTGTCCCACGGTATACGAGCAATGCTTCGAAGACACCTATGATCGAAAACCAGTAACCTATGAATATCTTCTACTCTCACTGGCCATGTTTCACAGCCATATAGGAGAACGGAGCGAACTGCTGCACAGTACACTCGTCCTTTGATTAGAGAACGGATATCACGCCTACGCCATAAGTGACGCAGGTTGGCAAAAGCTAATCGAGCCTTCTGTATCCGAGCTGAGATTTCGTCAGTCACCAGGCCATCGGCACTGATGAGACTACCAAGATAAGTGAAGCGGTCTACACGCTCGACTACTTCACTCCCTATCACTAGTTCAGGTGCCGATGCAACCTAGTCTTGAAGCAACATTTTGCATTTCGAGGGGGAAAAAGATACACTATGTGAAAGGTAGTAACATAACCAAGTCAATCAAGTTGAATAAGATGGAATAAAATTTAAACAAACAACCGACTAATTAAAAACCGAACTCCTTAACCACAAAGGAAAAAGTCACTTGACGACTTGAGACTCTAGATAGAGTACATGGACGATTTATAGTGTGAGATGAAAGTATGATTATAATGTGGAAGATAGTATTTGTTTGGCAATGGATAAGCTTTAACATCTATAGCGAAGATGAAGTGGATACATCATGAGACACTTCACTAAACAAATCGTAAATAATTACTACTAAGTGATTCCTAGCAAATATATATTGTGTTGTTTCCTCCTTTTCTGTATCTATTAATGGTGGATAGTAACAGTAAGCAGCAAGAACAAAATAATTTTCCTCATATTTACAATTATTTTTGAAATTTCTCTCGAACTAAATTCTTGACAACTTTTTGAATATGCGGTATAATCAATTTTCTTGCTTCAATCCATTTTTGTTTTACTTTTTCAGGATTGTTTATGGTAAAATATTCAATGCCAGCTTCATAATGAGGAGCAAAGAAGGATTCTTGACTAATAATATTCGATTCATCGTTATCATCTTCTTCATCTACAATCTGTTTGTCTTCATTTTCATCTAATGTTTTCCATTCTTCTAAAACTTGATCTATGGAAAAGTTAAACTTAAACTGGTTATGATCCATTTAATATGTGGACTTCTGCAAAACAAAATTAAAAGCATATATATATTCAATTAAATTACTACTGTGGATAAAAAATATTCACAAACATGAGAATTAAATTGTCTAATTTCACTTTTGATTATTATGTTTTATCAGTTGATGATATATCTAAGAAGATGGATGCATGATTGTCACAGGGAACTGGGAGAATTGGAGGTGTACCATCAAGAGGAAGATAACGCATGGCTTAAGTGGATGATTTTTTAACACAGAGGATGACAGTAGCTATCTAACTAACAAACAATACCCCGCAAACATCATTTTGATATATTCTCACCTATACCAATAAACCTGAATTTGCAGATAAGTTTACTCTGTTTGGAACTACTATGAAAAAAAAACCCATCACAGGTATGGATTTTGCAACGACATAAAAAATACTATTGATTCTTTGTGATCGGTATTCATTAGGTAGATAAACATATTCTTATTATCCAGTGTCAGTGAAAAAGATCTTGTAAGAGTTTAAAACATCGTAATACAAAATTATTTGTATGACATAAGAGATAAGTCAAACAAGGATGAAAAAAGTTAATGGTTTACATTGATGTTTTTCTCTGTTTTCTAGGTAGAGGTATCAATCTTTTTGAACGTAGTTAAGATTTTAAAGAATCCTCTTCCATCCCAAATCGCTAGTTATGGTTACATTTCAAAATTCCATTGATGGAAATTATGCATCACAACGACGACGGGGATATTATATACGACGTAGTGGTTTTCTAAAACTATTATCCAAGATTTATTGAATAAAATGATTTTTATGCATACTTTAACATTTTCACTTAAGAACACTGCCTCCAGACTAAATGAGATATAAGTGATAAGAGTTCGCATAAATTACTGTTTCTTAGTTAATATTTCAGTCCGTCAATCAGTCAACAACATAGAATTTCGTGTGTGGCCATAGTACATTACCATAGAGATGTAATTGTCAATTCAAATCTCATAGTAATAGAGGTAGTAAAGGTATTAGCAATAATCGGAGAGATTAGGGTTCGGAGATATTATTCAAGATGCATAGTTCAGTGAGATAACTTAAGAAAGAGAAAGATAGAGATGATGAGGAATTCAGAAGGTTAGGATTTGAGGGAACATAAAGAATCAATGCACCTGAGCCATGTCATTCAAGGTCTCTAACCATCGGTTATTTTCATCTCGCAGACCCCAACCAGGTAGTCGACATCTACCAACATGATTCATTCCACTTGTCGGTGACTTCATGGATTTCTGCTATGTTTTGGTTTGGCAGTCCCTAGCTTTCGTCCAATTTATTCCTACACCGGAAAATATAGCTCGACGAGGCAGTCGGTGGTTAGGCATACGCAACACATATCCCAACTACCTCAACTTCATCTATTGACCCGCCATCCTTACCTAAGACGCGTTTCCGAACGACAGCGTTGCTTACCCAGTTGTCCCTAACAAAAAAGCGCACGAGACCGAATCGGCCAGAATCAAATCCTTTCTAGTCAATATTTGTGTTGAGCAAACCGCACTTATAGTGCTAATTGTAATTTCTTTTTAGATTTTCGTCAACGACAACTGTCAGTCGCAACGTAAAAACACCAATCATAGCCTACTATTTCTATTACTTCTATAAGCTTTTATAAATTATAAATGAACGGATTTTTGCACATGAAAAATTTTTCAAACTCACATCGACAGAGTAGGAGAGTTGGTCTCTGAGGGATCTATGGATATATCTACACGATAATTAAACTATTACGCGTAAATCTAGGAGAAAGGAAACATTGAGAGAAAAATTCAAACAAAAAGTAGACTACTCGAAGTAAAGATATGTGTGCATTTAGTAGCATAAGTTTTTTGTTATAAACAGTTTGAAGTTAGATAGGTTTGTCCATAAATTGGTTCTTACATTTAGATTAAGAAAGCCTATCTCACACAGGTTAGCGTTGTTTGTGATGCTATCAAGTTATCGTATGTTGTGATTTTTAAGTTCGATAACACGTATGTATCTTTCTTCAATGTCAAT